GGCCCTGGGTTCCTCCTGGTGCAGAGGGCTCTGGGTTCCTCCTGGTGCAGTGGGCCCTGGGTTCCTCCTGGTGCAGAGGGCCCTGGGTTCCTCCTGGTGCAGTGGGCCCTGGGTTCCTCCTGGTGCAGAAGGCCCTGGGTTCCTCCTGGTGCAGAGGGCTCTGGGTTCCTCCTGGTGCAGTGGGCCCTGGGTTCCTCCTGGTGCAGAGGGCCCTGGGTTCCTCCTGGTCCTGGTCCTGGTCCTCTTTTATCAGTATAAATTGATCAATGTTCAGAGAGAATTAATTTTTCAGAGTCTAAAATTTAACCAGACATATAATTCATAAACTGAACTCAGTGTATTCATATTAAAACATTTAATCTCGCCTTGGCTTTGAGCTGATTCACAAACACAGGATTCACCAACACGTCCCAGAATGCTCTGACATCATGCTAATCAATCAGCTCATCATCCATCGATAATCAATTCAGTGCATTCATCACATCATCTCTGTCTGCAGACACCTGTCAGCCACCGTGCCCAAAACACTCTACCTCCAGGTGACCCTCACACATTAAGGCAGGTAATGGATCACACAGCTGATTATTGATCACACAGCTGATTATTGATCAGTGAGCTGATTATCTAAAGTTGGATTGAAAACCAATCCTGTCCCTCACTGGCTGTTTCTGTTCTGTTTAGAAATCAAACAACTGGAGTTTAACTGGAGTTAAACTGTAGTTAAATTAGAGTCCAGTCAGTGTTATGGAACGATGGCTGAAACCATCCAATCACCACCAACGTGCCAAAATATTTTTGTTTTAAAATAGTTTTTTTTTCTTTAAAATATAAAAAACATCACTTCCTGTTTTTCTTCCATACAGATGAGCATCAGAGATTCTTTTTTTGTAAATATAAAAACATTTGATCGACAGATTTTGGTCTTTTTTTCACATCAAGAACAGTTTATAAATATTTTTCTCTTTTTACAGCGCTCTGCTACACGACTGTCAGACTTTAAAAAAACATCTGAATCTTTTACAGCGGTCAGGTACAAAAATAACCAGTAAAAACACAAAGAAAAAAAAAGCTCTGCTACACCTGTACGGCCACCTGATGACCACCTGACAACCACTTGAAGACCACGTGATGACCACCTGTATGGCCACCTGACAATCACCTGTTCGGCCACCTGATGACCACCTGACAACCACTTGAAGACCACCTGATGACCACCTGTATGGCCACCTGTACGGCCACCTGACGACCACCTGTACGGCCACCTTACGACCACCTGACGACCACCTGAAGACCACCTGACGACCACCTGTATGGCCACCTGACGACCACCTAAAGACCACCTGTACGGCCACCTGAAGACCACCTGACGACCACCTGACGACCACCTGAAGACCACCTGATGACCACCTGTACGGCCACCAAAAGACCACCTGACGACCACCTGAAGACCACCTGACGACCATCTGATAACCACCTGTACGGACTTGTACAGCCACCTGACAACCACCTGTATGGACTTGTACAGCCACCTGACAACCACTTGAAGACCACCTGTATGGCCACCTGACAACCATCTGTAAGGCCACATGACGACCACCTGATGACCACCTGTATGGCCACATGACGACCACCTGTACAGCCACTTGACGACCACCTGTACAGCCACCTGATGATCACCTGTACGGCCACCTGCAACCACCTGTATGGCCACTTGACGACCACCTGTACAGCCACCTGATGATCACCTGTACGGCCACCTGCAACCACCTGTATAGCCATCTAACAACCACCTGTACGGACTTGTACAGCCACCTGATGACCACCTGTACGGCCACCTGACGACCACCTGTACGACCAGGTGCCTGTACCTGTTCGGTCACCTGTATGAACACCTGACCACCACCTGACGACCACCTGACAACCACCTGTACGGACTTGTGCAGCCACCTGAAGACCACCTGTATGGCCACCTGACAACCACCTGTACGGACTTGTACAGCCACCTGACAACCACCTGTAAGGCCACACAACGACCACCTGACAACCACCTGTATGGCCACCTGATGACCACCTGTGCGGCCACTTGACGACCACCTGTACGGCCACCTGATGATCACCTGTACGGCCACCTGCAACCACCTGTATGGCCATCTGACAACCACCTGTGCGGACTTGTACAGCCACCTGACGACCACCTGTACGACCACCTGTACAGGCACCTGATGACCACCTGTACAACCAGATGCCTGTACCTGTTCGGTCACCTGTATGGACACCTGTACATGTACGGCAACCTGTACGGCCACCTGTACGGACACCTGTGCTAACACCTGTACCTGTTCTGCCACCTGAACAGACACCTGTACAGACACCTGTATGGACACCTGTACCTGTACGGACACTGTATAGACACCTGTACCTGTACGGACACCTGTATGGACACTTGTACCTGTTCGGCCACCTGTGCAGACACCTGTATCTGTTCGGCCACCTGCACAGACACCTGTACGGACACCTGTACGAACACCTGTACCTGTTTGGCCGCCTGAACAGACACCTGTATGGACACCTGTACCTGTATGGACACCTGTATGGACACTTGTACCTGTATGGACACCTGTATGGACACTTGTACCTGTTCGGCCACCTGTGCAGACACCTGTATCTGTTCGGCCACCTGCACAGACACCTGTTCGTCCACATGTATGGACACCTGTACCTGTACAGCCACCTGTAAAGACATCTGTTCAGCAATCCGTAAGAACATGTGTACCTGTTTGGCCACCTGTACAGACATCTGTTCAGACACCTGTACAAACACCTGTACCTGTTCGGCCACCTGTACGGACATCTGTTCAGCCATCCATACGAACACATGTACCTGTTCGGCCACCTGTACAGACACCTGTATGGGCACCTGTACCTGTATGGACACCTGTATGGACACTTGTACCTGTTTGGCCACTTGTATGGACACTTGTACCTGTACGGACACCTGTACAAACACCTGTACCTATTCAGCCACCTGAACAGACACCTGTATGGACACCTGTACCTGTATGGACACCTGTATGGACACTTGTACCTGTGTGGCCACCTGTATGGACACTTGTACCTGTATGGACACCTGTACGAACACCTGTACCTGTTCAGCCACCTGAACAGACACCTGTATAGACACCTGTACCTGTATGGACACCTGAACCTGTACAGACACCTGTATGGACACTTGTACCTGTTCGGCCACCTGTGCAGACACCTGTATCTGTTCGGTCACCTGCAAAGACACCTGTTCGGCCACCTGTATGGACACCTGTACCTGTACAGCCACCTGTAAAGACATCTGTTCGGCCATCCGTACGAACATGTGTACCTGTTCAGCCACCTGTACAGACATCTGTTCAGACACCTGTACAAACACCTGTACCTGTACCTGTTCGGCCACCTGTACGGACATCTGTTCAGCCATCCGTACAAACACGTGTACTTGTTCGGACACCTGTACAAACACCTGTACCTGTACCTGTTCGGCCACCTGTGCGGACACCTGTACGGACACCTGTACCCACACCTGTTCAACCACCTGTATGACAACCTGTACGTGTTCGGCCACCTGTGCGGACACCTGTACAGACATCTGTTCAGCCATCCATACGAACACGTGTATCTGTTCGGCCACCTGTACAGACAGCTGTGCGGACACCTGCATAAATACCTGTATGACCACTTGAACGTGTTTGGCCACCTGTGCGGACACCTCATCATCATCATCATCATCATAATGATTATCACCAACATCATGGTCATCATCATCATCATCACCATCATCATCATCATCATCATTATCACCATCATCATTATCATCACCATCATCACCATCATGGTCATCATCATCATCATCACCATCATGGTCATCATCATCATCATCATTATCATCATCATCATCATCATGGTCATCATCATCATCATCATCGTCACCACCACCACCATCATCATCATCATCACCATCATCATCATCATCATCATTATCATCATCATCACTATCATCATCATCATCATCATCATCACCACCACCACCACCACCATCATCATCATCATCATCATCACCATCATCATCATCACCATCATCACTATCATCATTATCATCATCATCACCATCAGCACCATCTTCATCACCATCATCACCATCACCATCACCATCATCATCATCATCATCATCATCACCATCAGCACCATCTTCATCACCATCATCACCATCACCATCAGCACCATCTTCATCACCATCATCACCATCACCATCACCACCACCATCATCACCATCATCACCATCATCATCATCACCATCACCATCATCATCATCATGTCTCTCTGTGGTTCAGATGGCAGTGTCCCAGAACACGGTGGTGCTGGTCTGTCCGGGGCCAGAGGAAGTGGGAGGGGCAGAGTATGGCGGCGGCTGCTTCCTCCTCCAGCTGGGCAGGATGGGCATGCTGTCCTGTTTACACAGATTCTTCTCGGGCCGCTGGCGAGCTTTGATCTCACGACACAGAATCCTCTTCTTCTCTATCATCTCCATCATGGTGGCGTCTCCACACAGCCACGGCATCTGCAACAGCAACAAGTCCTTACTCGTCACTTATTGATTTGTTATTGATCAATTACTGATCAGTTATTGATCACTCATCACCACTGCTCGCAGTGGCTGATCGTGACTTTGTTGTCATATGAAGTGTCTGAATGTTTGTTTTATGTCTTTTCATTGATCAGTTTGTAAATTAAATTTTCATTTAATCAGATTTTCTGTTGTGAACAGTAAAAAATTAAAGTCATTAACAAAAAGATTCATGTTTTTCTGACACTGAAACTTGTTAATATGAATATATGAACATGTTAATTTATACGAGTTCATGATGTTTGAAATATGTGTTGATGTTATTTATTGTCTAGTGATTGGATGCCGAGGACTGTCAGTATGTCATGTGACTTCATCTCAGATGGGCGGGGCTTACTGCCATTAAAGGCTCTAAAGTCTCAAAAGGTAGACAGACAGACAGACAGACAGATAGACAGACAGACAGGTACAGACAGACAGACAGCCAGACAGACGGAAGGGTACAGACAGACAGACAGACAGACAGACAGACAGGTTGTCAGTATGATGTCAGTGTCACACTGGTTTATTGACAGATGATGATGACAGGTTTAAAAAACAGTAAATACAGATTTTAATCAGATCGTCAGCAGGAAGTAAAAATCATCACGTTTGAGTCTGAAGTTTGAGTCTGTAGTTTGAGTGTGAAATTTGAGTTTGTAATTTGACTCTGTCATTTGAGTCTGATGTTTGAGTTTGAGTCTGAAGTGTGAGTGTGAAATTTGAGTTTGTAGTTTTACTCTGTAGCTTGAGTTTGTAGTTTGAGTCTGAAGTTTTATGACATTAAGTATTTTATTTTTGGACTCATAAGCATTTATTAACAAACACACAGTTCCAGACTTTATTTAGACATTTATCATCATTTCGAGCCGAAAGATTTAAAAACAGACAAATGTGTGGTTTTATTTTGAAGGAGCAGTTTGTGATTCTGATGGCTGATTGTTGAGTTGCAGTCGACAGATATAGATGACCGCTGGTAGTTGGACCGTACCTCAAAGCGTCGGTAACAGACGACCTGTGAATGACTCTTAATGATCAATGTCCAGAATTACACACTGCACCTTTACAAGGTGGAACAACAAACAACAAACAATGAAGGACATCAGAATATGAATGAATTCTCTCTACATGGCATAGAGGGGTGCGTCTTTATGATGGTAGGTGGAGTTAGTATGGGGTGGGTTGGGTTAGAATAAGGTGAGAATAGAGTTTGTATCAGTGTAAATACATGTAAAAAATACATTTTAAAAGAAATTCAAATTAATAAAGTGCTCCAGCGTGAGTTCAATGTTAGCATGAAGCTAATTACATGTTAGGTTAATGTTAGCGTGAGGCTAAATTCATGTTAGGTTAATGTTAGCATGAAGCTAATTACATGTTAGGTTAATGTTAGCGTGAAGCTAATTACATGTTAGGTAAATGTTAGCGCGAAGCTAATTACATGTTAGGTTAATGTTAGCATGAAGCTAATTACATGTTAGGTTAATGTTAGCGTGAAGCTAATTACATGTTAGGTTAATGTTAGCGTGAAACTAATTACATGTTAGGTTAATGTTAGCATAGAGCTAATTACATGTTAGGTTGATGTTAGCGTGAAGCTAGTTAAAAGTTAGTTTTATGTTAGCATGAAACTAATTACATGTTAGGTTAATGTTAGTAACTAAACTTTGTCTGATTATTAAAGCTTTACAGTTCATATTTACAGATTCATTTTCAATACAAAAAACATTTAGTTGAAATATTTTACACAAAACTAAGCCACTGATCCTTTGAACAAAGAAAACACTTTGTTTACATGTTGACTTGTTTACTAGTTTTCATGTTTACAGTTCAGAAGTGAGTCAGCTGATGGATTGAAGCTTCTGTCCGTCTGTAAAACATTTTACGTTCTGTCGTTCATCGACGGTGAATCCTGCGTGAAAATATAAAGTCTGTGTTTATTTCATTGTTTTAATTAGACTGATGTTCGTCCTCTGGCAGACAGACAGGTAACAGACAGACAGGTAACAGACAGACAGACAGTTTTACAGGTGTGGTACCTGGCTGAGGGCGGGGTGATGTGGTTCATGCTGATGGCGTTGTGGCGTTCCACCTGGAGAAGGAACTCCTGATGTTGAGGCTGAACGGCCTAGTTTACACACTGACTTCGATTCTGCAGACAAAAATATTTATATCAAAATGTTAAAATCTTCAGATTGTATGAGGGACATCAGTGAGACCACTCTGTAAAATTAAATTATAAACTATTTGATTTAAAGTTCATGTTGTAACTGCTTGAGTCACCTCCTCCTCCTCCTCCTCCTCCAGACAGCATCATAGTCGGACTGACAGACGATCTTCCCATCCTGCTGGATCCTGGACTGGACTGTCCATCTCTGTCTTTACTGCCATGTCTGGGCAGAGACCTGGAGTCTCCTACAGAGACAGAGACAGAGATAGACACAGAGACAGGAAACAGAGACAGGGGACAGACACAGACATGATGAAACAATAAAACCATCTGCCTTGTTTCCTCGGAGGTTTCAGAGGATTTATTTGTCCAACACAATAGAGATATCAATAAAACCCTCAAATTCAGAGAAGCAGCAGAACCAAAGCAAATCTGAGAAAAGAAAAATATAACTTTAAATAATAAAGAACGTATGAGAACTGGTGAGAAACAGGAAGAAGACAAACCTAAAGAACTCTCCAGGTTCTTCCTCACAACATTTGAACCAAAGTGAACTTTTCTCCTAGAACGTGTTTGAGGCTGCCACAGGAAGTGACAAAACGCAGGGAGGAAGTCACAGAGAACCTGATTTATCAGTCCAACCTGTTGGCAGGAGAGTTTGATATCCTATTCTCTGTGCATACTGTCATTTCAGTGTGTCTCTCCTGATGACTCCCACCTGAGCTCGTTACTCACCTGCTCTTGATTTTACCTCCTGTGAACCCTGTATATATAAACTCCCCCTGTTCGCTGCTGTACCGCTGTGAGGGTCCAAAAAACAAAGGGATGTCGTATGCTGTAAAGCCTCTGAGGCAAATTGTTATTTGTGATATTGGGCTTTATAAAAAAAATTGACTGAATTGAATTGTTCTCCCTGTTCTTGGTTCTACCTCACATCAAAGGTCTCTATGGTTCATGACTTAACCTTGGTTTTATCTTTCAATTTTGTCATCTTCCTGTCTGCATCTGTTCGCTCTGTTTGGACCGACCTTAAGTATTTGAGTGCTGGACTCATCAGTTTGAGTCAAGACTGACTCTTAAAGTTGGGGCTGGCTCTTATAGTTAGGGCTGACTCTTATAGTTAGAGCTGAGTCTTATAGTTAGGGCTGACTCTTATAGTTAGAGCTGAGTCTTATAGTTAGGGCTGGCTCTTACAGTTAGGACTGGCTCTTAGGACTGACTCTTATAGTCAGGACTGCCTTTTATAGTTAGGACTGACTCTTATAGTTAGGACTGGTTCTTATAGTAATGGTTGGCTCCTATAGATAGGACTGACTCTTGTAGTTACGGCTGACTCTTATAGTAAGAGCTGACTCTTATAGTTACGGCTGACTCTTAAAGTTAGGACAGACTCATAGTTAGGACTGGCTCTTATAGTTAGGACTGGCTGTTATGGTCAAGACTGAGTTTTATAGTTAGGACTGGCTCTTATAGTTACGGCAGGCTCTTATAGTTAGGACTGGCTGTTATGGTCAAGACTGAGTTTTACAGTTAGGGCTGGCTCTTATAGTTACGGCAGGCTCTTATAGTTAGGACTGACTCTTATAGTTACAGTAGGCTCTTATGGTTAAGACTGACTCTTATAGTTAGGACTGACTCTTATAATTAGGACTGACTCATAATTATGGCTGACTCTTATAGTTAGGACTGGCTCTTATGGTTAAGACTGGCTGTTATGGTCAAGACTGAGTTTTATAGTTAGGACTGGCTCTCATAGTTACGGCAGGCTCTTATAGTTAGGACTGACTCTTATAGTTACGGCAGGCTCTTATGGTTAGGACTGGCTCTTATAGTTAGGACTGACTCTTATAATTAGGACTGACTCATAATTACAGCTGACTCTTATAGTTAGGACTGACTCTTATAGTTACAGCAGGCTCTTATGGTTAAGACTGACTTTTATAGTTAGGACTGGCTCTAATAGTTAGGACTGACTCTTATAGTCAGGACTGTCAGGCTGGCTCAGGGTTTTCTTGGACCAGCCTGTAGTTAGTGGATTAAATTAAACTGCCCCTCCTGCCTTCTGATCCATTCTTCATCACCTGTCTGCCTGATGTAAAATTGATTTAATAAGGATGGAGTACTGTTGTGGTACTGTGGAACAGATGGAGTACTGGTGCAGGACTGGTACAGTACTGGTGCCGGTCTTACCTTCACTCCCTCGGCTCTTCCTGCCTCCTGATCCTTTCTTCGTCACCTGTCTACTTGAGGTAAACAGGTTGTTGAGTTCATCCAATGGGCTGGTGGGAGTCTGTGATCTCATCGAAACATTTTGCATGGAGCCGTGGGTGGAGGAGGAGTTACTTAGTTTTGCCCCGCCCTCACCAGCCCTCTGTGAGGATGAAGAGGAGGAAGAGGATGAACGAGGCATACTTCCTCCTGCCATCAGAGCATCGTATGGTGGCGGTCTCTTAAGGCTCAGAGGAGTCAGAGAGCGACCCATGCTGACCGGAGACGGACATGCTGATTGGCTGCGAGGGTAACCATGACCACTGTGGGTGGAACCAGAGGACTTGTAGAGATTGGAGGGGAGAGGTGGAGCTGATGAACGGCCAGAGGATGTGATGGTGTGGGTGGAGGGCAGATCCCGGTCCCGGTTCCGGTCCCGATCTCGGTCTCTGTCTCGGTCTCGCTCCTTGCGGTGGTGGGTGGAGCTCTGCGAATGCTCCACACCACCTGACTTGTTGTAGGAGATGTTATCAATCATGGGCAGTCGGGTGACGTCTAAAGGGGTGAGGGGGGACTCGTCAGAGTTGGGAGAGCACTGAGCAGGGGCAGGGGGAAAGACGAGCAGTGGTGGACGGTGAGTCAGGAGGTTGGGGAAAGGTGGAGGGATGTCACAGAGAGAGCCGCGGGATGCCCAGGCTTCAGGATCCATGATGGCGGAGTGAGCGTCCTGCAGGAAGTCCTCCAACATTGGGTATTTCATCTCCTCATACACCGACTCGCTCTGCTCATCCTCCACAGCTTCCTGACCTTTCAGTTCCCGCAGGATGTTTCCCACCATCTCGATGTAGACGGGTTCCTCGTCGTCTGTGTCTCTCGAGGCCGGACTCTGAGTCTGAGACGAAGATTTGTCCCATCGCAAGGAAGACTTTTTGTTGCCATGGTTATGAATATAAGATTCATCGAAGGAGGTGCTGAGCTGAGTGTTTGGATTCCTTTTGGGTTTTGGTGGAGGCATCTTCTTGTAGTCCTCACTGTAGAGATGGCATCGAGCTGCAAGGAGACAGAAAGACAGACGGACGGACAGACAGAGAGACAGACACATGAGACACAATGACAGCAGCATCTCTTCCTAATGTAACTTCTTAAACATGCAACTGTCCACTTATTCCAGGGGGTGTCATGTTTAATTTACAGGTGTCATGTTTAACTGACAGGTGTCATGTCTAAACAGCAGGTGTCATGTTTCATTGACAGGTGTCATGTCTAAACAGCAGGTGTCATGTTTAACTGACAGGTGTCATGTCTAAATNCAAAAACAGCAACAAACAGACATTTTGACAGAAAGTCTTCTTCTATGAAAAAGACTTTCTGTCAAAATGTCTGTGTTTCTGGTACTGCCACCCAAGTTGGTTTATTAAATTTATCAAAAGGACATTTGTGAGTGCTGGCATTTTTCCCTTTGACAAATAATTTGTGTGACATCTGATTGTTTTGTAAATAGTTGTTCAAAAAACGCCTGAGGCATTGCTTGCATTTTAATGTAAATAGTTATATATAACGTTGTTTGCTAAATTAGAACATATGTTTTTGAAGTTTACAATTTATATTTTTATTCTAAGTTACACAAATGGTTCGTTAGACATGTTTGTGGTTTTCACAGTAAAAAATCTAACTTTTTCCTACTCAGATTTTATGTTTTTTATGTGATTTTAGGTCCAGTGTGTTAATACAGTATGTCAAAATGAAAAAATAACTGTAAAGTCACACAGGTGAGGTTGTGCTGAAAAGAATGATACCAAACAAGGCAAGGTAAACAGTTTTTTTAAGGTGAAATTTAAAGGTAAAATGAAAACTAGTCAAAAATGGCCAATTACCCCCTAGACCCTTAAGTTCATATCACAGTCATTATAAAGGCTACATACACATGCTATATCTTGTTTTTTTTCAGGACAATGTGGGCTAACCAGATTTGCCTGGACATTTCATGTCCTTCTTTGTGACTGTATTTTATATTAATTTTTATATCAATGAAAAAAACAAATCTGTGTGCCTAAATTCTTACTTTTTTACATGTATCTCACCATAGCAAGTTGAAAAATGACATATTTTGCCATATATGAAGAGGGGAGACTCTCTGGAATCTGGCAATATAAGAACCATGATGCTGGGATATTCTGTCACTTCACAGCTGTCCAAAACATGTGGTTTGTGCCAGCCGGACATGATTGCCAGTATTTTTTCATTATTGCAAGAAATTCCATAGACTCATTCACAAGTCAAAAATGTGTTTTATCTGAAAGAAACATGCAATATTTACATCTAAGATCATACAAAAATAGTCAACCAAGTGCAGTGATGTTCTCCAAGATAATATTTGCCACTTTGTTTGCAGTAAACAAAGTTTGTTGTTGTTTCTCAGTTTCAGTTATATATTGGGGGGGCATTTTGGGCATTGGGGGGGACACATGTCCCCCTCAATGTATATGGTGACCTGGGCCCTGTCATGCATGCATAATTAGGCTACAGTTGTCTGGGTGCGCAAAGGTGAAGTGGCTGGTCTTGTCATACAAAGTTTGATGGAGTGTCAACTGGACAATATGGAGATATTTGCATCTTGAAAGCCGGACTACAAATGTGGATAGACAGGGAGAAACACACACAAGCCTAAGATGTGGCAAGATACGATATTCCTCACTATATGAAGTGACTGATAACAAGATCTGTATAATGGATTGTAAAGAAATTCGTCAGGTTTTTATTTTGTAGACAATTAATCTGGATTTATAGCATGATGGGATGACAGCACAATGATGTGTGGTATCAGTGGAAAGCTCTGCTCATGCGCTTTCATGTGATATGCGTGGCATTTCTGTGCGAGCCTGCATTCGCGAGTAATCCATCCAAAAGTAATGTGTGTGCAAAGCTGTATGAAAGCTCTGTTATACATAATTTTAGTGTAACTTTATCATTTTTTTTGCTGTGAAAACATTGGACTACCGACAAGTGCTTGGCCTTGTCGGAAAGTTTCACGTGATATGCGTGGCTTCTCGCTATGATGCACGGTCGCGGAGAAAATCAATAGAGAAGAACAGGTGTGAATTTCGACGCACTATGTGTCATTTAGGCCCTTAGGGTTAACTGACAGGTGTTGTTGTAAGCTACTGACAGGTGTTGTTGTAAGCTACTGTCATTACCTGCATCTCTCTTTCTCTTTCTCTCTCTGTCTCATTGTGTCATGCGGATTACTGTTAATTTATTATGCTGATCTGTTCTGTACGGCATCTATTGCACGTCTGTCCGTCCTGGAAGAGGGATCCCTCCTCAGTTGCTCTTCCTCAGGTTTCTATCATTTTTTTTCCCCATTAAAGGGTTTTTTTGGGGAGTTTTTCCTGATCAGCTGTGAGGGTCCAAAAGACAGAGGGATGTCGTATGCTGTAAAGCCCTGTGAGGCAAATTGTGATTTGTGATATTGGGCTTTATAAATAAAATTGATTGATTGATTGATTGATTGATGTGTTCCTGTCAGGTGTGTTGTTCTCACCTTCAGCCTGCTCTGACGTCTCTTTGGTCTCTTGAACGTCTCTCTTGGCGACTCCTGAGCTACCGTTCACCATCTCGGAGCTGCTGCTCAGTTTAGTGTTGGGGTCTCTCTTCGGTTTGGGTGGGGGTTGTTTTCGGTTGGGGTTGGAGTCGTCGTCTCCTCCGCCCACAGAGTGGAGGGACTGGGATCGGACAGCGAAGCCTTGACTGGGAGGTGGCAGGCGGTCCTGCGGTGCTGGCATTGTCATGAAACCCATCCTGAAATGTTTTCCAGAGTACGCCCCGTCTGTTGCGATGGCAACATCTTCACCAATCCTGGATAGACCAATGGAAAGACTCGTTAGTAAAACTGTTTGGACAAACATCTATAAAATACACAAAAACAAAAACTGACCTGATAACCTTGATACACACACTGCATGTTGAACATAAAATATCAAACTTATCAAACGACTCATAAACATCGGCCACAGCAGAAGGCATGGTAAATATCAGCACAAAAATACTGTCGTGGATCAAAACACCAGTTGAATTTGTAACAGCAGACTTTTATTACATTACAGACATTTCATTTACTGCACATCACTGAAAAGTTTATTCCGTAGTCACTCCCACCGAGTAAACGTACAGCAGACTGCCAACTGACCGACAATCACTGTCACATTGAGCAGGAGAAGGAGGAAGAGGAGGAGTAGGTTGGTCATCTGTGGTCTGAGTCCTGTCGAATGCCTGTGGTCTGAGTCCTGTTGGTGGTCTGTGGTCTGAGTCCTGTCGATCATCTGTGGTCTGAGTCCTGTCAAATGCCTGTGGTCTGAGTCCTGTTGGTGGTCTGTGGTCTGAGTCCTGTCGATCATCTGTGGTCTGAGTCCTGTTGATCATCTGTGATCTGAGATCTGTCGATCATCTGTGGTCTGAGTCCTGTTGATCGTCTATGGTCTGAGTCCTGTTGGTGGTCTGTGGTCTGAGTCCTGTCAATCATCTGTGGTCAGAGTCCTGTCGATCATCTGCGGTCTGAGTCCTGTTGATCACCTGTGGTCTGAGTCCTGTCGAATGCCTATGTCCTGTTGGTGGTCTGTGGTTTGAGTCCTGTCGATCATCTGTGGTCTGAGTCCTGTTGATCATCTGTGATCTGAGATCTGTCGATCATCTGTGGTCTGAGTCCTGTTGATCGTCTATGGTCTGAGTCCTGTTGGTGGTCTGTGGTCTGAGTCCTGTCAATCATCTGTTGTCAGAGTCCTGTCGATCATCTGTGGTCTGAGTCCTGTTGGTGGTCTGTGGTCTGAGTTCTGTCAATCATCTGTGGTCATAAACCTGTCGATCATTTGTGGTCTGAGTCCTGTCGATCATTTGTGGTCATAGTCCTGTTGATCATCTGTGGTCTGAGTCCTGTCGATCACCTGTGGTCTGAGTCCTGTTGATCATCTGTGGTCTGAGTCCTGTCAATCGTTTGTGGTCTGAGTCCTGTCAATCGTTTGTGGTCATAGTACTGTCGATCACCTGTGGCCTGAGTCCTGTCGATCATTTGTGGTCTGAGTCCTGTTGATCATCTATGGTCTGAGTCCTGTTCGTCATCTGTGGTCTGAGTCTTGTCGATTGTCTGTGGTCTGAGCCCTGTTGATCATGTGTGGTCTGAGTCCTGTTGATCGTTTGTGGTCTGAGTCCTGTTGATCATGTGTGGTCTGAGTCCTGTTTATCATCTGTGGTCTGAGTCCTGTCGATCATTTGTTGTCTGAGTCCTGTCGATCATCTGTGGTCTGAGTCCTGTTGATCATCTGTGGTCTGAGTCCTGTTCGTCATCTGTGGTCTGAGTCCTGTTGGTGATGTGTTGTCTGAATCCTGTTGATCATTTGTGGTCTGAGTCTTGTTGATCATTTGTGGTCTGAGTCCTATCGATCATCTATGGTCTGAGTACTGTCGATCGTCTGTGGTCTGAGTCCTGTCGATCGTTTGTGGTCATAGTCCTGTTGATCATCTGTGGTCTGAGTCCTGTCGATCACCTGTGGTCTGAGTCCTGTTGATCATCTGTGGCCTGAGTCCTGTCGATCATTTGTGGTCTGAGTCCTGTTGATCGTTTGTGGTCTGAGTCCTGTTCGTCATCTGTGGTCTGAGTCTTGTCGATTGTCTGTGGTCTGAGTCCTGTTGATCATCTGTGATCTGAGATCTGTCGATCATCTGTGGTCTGAGTCCTGTCGATCGTCTGTGGTCTGAGTCCTTTCGATCATTTGTGGTTATAGTCCTGTTGATCATCTGTGGTCTGAGTCCTGTTGATCACCTGTGGTCTGAGTCCTGTCAATTGTGTGTGGTCTGAGTCCTGTCGATCGTTTGTGGTAATAGTCCTGTTGATCATCTGTGATCTGAGTCCCGTCGATTACCTGTGGTCTGAGTCCTGTTGGTGGTCTGTGGTCTGAGTCCTGTCAAACATCTGTGGTCTGAGTCCTGTTGGTCATCTGTGGTCTGAGTCCTGTTGATCGTGTGTGGTCTGAGTCCTGTTGATTGTTTGTGGTCTGAGTCCTGTTGATCGTGTGTGGTCTGAGTCCTGTCGATCGTTTGTGGTCATAGTCCTGTTGATCATCTGTGGTCTGAGTCCTGTTGGTGGTCTGTGGTCTGAGTCCTGTCAAACATCTGTGGTCTGAGTCCTGTCGATCGTCTGTGGTCTGAGTCCTGTCGATCATTTGTTGTCTGAGTCCTGTTGATCGTCTGTGGTCTGAGTCCTGTTGATGATCTGTGGTCTAAGTCCTGTTCGTCATCTGTGGTCTGAGTCCTGTTGGTGATGTGTTGTCTGAATCCTGTTGATGATCTATGGTCTAAGTCCTGTTCGTCATCTGTGGTCTGAGTCCTGTTGGTGATGTGTTGTCTGAATCCTGTTGATGATCTATGGTCTGAATACTGTCGATCGTCTGTGGTCTGAGTCCTGTTGATTATCTGTGGTCTGAGTTCTGTTGATTATCTGTGGTCTGAGTACTGTTGATTGCCTGTGGTCTGAGTCCTGTTGATTATCTGTGGTCTGAGTCCTGTCGATCATCTGTGGTCTGAGTCCTGTTGATCGTTTGTGGTCTGAGTCTTGTTGATCATTTGTTGTCTGAGTCCTATTGATCATCTGTGGTCTGAGTCCTGTCGATCATCTGTGGTCTGAGTCCTGTCGGTGGTTTGTGGTCTGAGACCTGTTGATCATTTGTGATCTGAGATCTGTCGATCATCTGTGGTCTGAGTCCTGTTGATCGTCGGTGGTCTGAGTCCTGTTGGTGGTCTGTGGTCTGAGTCCTGTTGATCGTTTGTGTTCTGAGTCCTGTCGATCATTTGTTGTCTGAGTCCTGTCGATCGTCTGTGGTCTGAGTCCTGTCGATCATCTGTGGTCTAAGTCCTGTTCGTCATCTGTGGTCTGAGTCCTGTTGGTGATGTGTTGTCTGAATCCTGTTGATGATCTAGGGTCTGAATACTTTCGATCGTCTGTGGTCTGAGTCCTGTTGATTATCTGTGGTTTCAGTCCTGTTGATTATCTGTGGTCTGAGTCTTGTTGATTATCTGTGGTCTGAGTACTGTCGATTGCCTGTGGTCTGAGTCCTGTTGATTATCTGTGGTCTGAGTCCTGTCGATCATCTGTGGTCTGAGTCCTGTCGATCATCTGTGGTCTGAGTCTTGTTGATCATTTGTGGTCTGAGTCCTATCGATCATCTGTGATCTGAGTCCTGTCGATCATCTGTGGTCTGAGTCCTGTCGGTGGTTTGTGGTCTGAGACCTGTTGATCATTTGTGATCTGAGATCTGTTGATATTCTTTGGTCTGAGTCCTGTTGATCGTCGGTGGTCTGAGTCCTGTTGATCGTCGGTGGTCTGAGTCCTGTTGGTGGTCTGTGGTCTGAGTCCTGTCGATCATCGGTGGTCTGAGTCCTGTCGATCATCTGTGGTCTGAGTCCTGTTGATCGTTTGTGTTCTGAGTCCTGTCGATCATCTGTGGTCTGAGTCCTGTCGATGGCCTGTGGTCTGAGTCCTGTTGATCATTTGTGATCTGAGTCCTGTCGATCATTTGTTGTCTGAGTCCTGTCGATTACCTGTGGTGTGAGTCCTGTTGGTGGTCTGTGGTCTGAGTCCTGTTGATCATTTGTGGTCCGAGCCCTGTTGATCGTCTGTGGTCTGAGCCCTGTTGGTGGTCTGTGGTCTGAGCCCTGTCGATCATCTGTAGTCTGAGTCCTGTCGATCATCGGTGGTGTGAGTCCTGTTGGTGGTCTGTGGTCTGAGTCCTGTTGATCATTTGTGGTCCGAGCCCTGTTGATCGTCTGTGGTCTGAGCCCTGTTGGTGGTCTGTGGTCTGAGCCCTGTCGATCATCTGTAGTCTGAGTCCTGTCGATCATCGGTGGTCTGAGTCCTGTTGGTGGTCTGTGGTCTGAGTCCTGTCGATCATCTGTGGTCTGTGTCCTGTTGATTGTTTGTGGTCTGAGTCCTGTTGATCATTTGTGATCTGAGATCTGTCGATCATCTGTAGTCTGATTCCTGTTGGTGGTCTGTGGTCTGAGTCCTGTCAATTGCCTGTGGCCTGAGTTCTGTTCGTGGTCTGAGTCCTGTCGATCATCTGTGGTCTGAGTCCTGTCGATTGCCTTTGGTCTGAGCCCTGTTGATCATTTGTGGTCTGAGTCCTGTTGATCGTCTGTGGTCTGAATCCTGTTGATCGTCTGTGGTCCAAGCCCTGTTGATCGTCTGTGGTCTGAGCCCTGTTGATCGTCTGTGGTCTGAGTCCTGTCAAGTGCCTTTGGTCTGAGCCCTGTTGATTGTCTGTGGTCCGAGCCCTGTTGATTGTTTGTGGTCTCAGCACTGTTGATCATTTGTGGTCCGAGCCCTGTTGATCGTCTGTGGTCTGAGCCCTGTTGATCATCTGTGGTCTGAGTCCTGTCGATTGCCTTTGGTCTGAGTCCTGTTGATCATCTGTGGTCTGAGTCCTGTCGATTGCCTGTGGTCTGCGTCCTGTTGATCGTCTGTGGTCCGAGCCCTGTTGATCGTCTGTGGTCCAAGCCCTGTTGATCGTCTGTGGTCTGAGCCCTGTTGATCATTTGTGGTCCAAGCCCTGTTGATCGTCTGTGGTCTGAGCCATGTTGATCATTTGTGGTCCGAGCCCTGTTGATTGTCTGTGGTCTGAGTCCTGTTGATCGTCTGTGGTCTGAGCCCTGTTGATCATTTGTGGTCCGAGCCCTGTTGATCGTCTGTGGTCCGAGCCCTGTTGATCGTCTGTGGTCTGAGCCCTGTTGATCATTTGTGGTCTGAGTCTCGTTGATCGTCTGTGGTCTGAGTCCTGTTGATTGTCTGTGGTCCGAGCCCTGTTGTTCGTCTGTGGTTTGAGCCCTGTTGATCATTTGTGGTCCGAGCCCTGTTGATCGTCTGTGGTCTGAGCCCTGTTGATCATCTGTGGTCTGAGTCCTGTCGATTGCCTTTGGTCTGAGTCCTGTTGATCATCTGTGGTCTGAGTCCTGTCGATTGCCTGTGGTCTGCGTCCTGTTGATCGTCTGTGGTCCGAGCCCTGTTGATCGTCTGTGGTCCAATCCCTGTTGATCGTCTGTGGTCTGAGCCCTGTTGATCATCTGTGGTCCAAGCCCTGTTGATCGTCTGTGGTCTGAGCCATGTTGATCATTTGTGGTCCGAGCCCTGTTGATTGTCAGTGGTCTGAGTCCTGTTGATCGTCTGTGGTCTGAGCCCTGTTAATCATTTGTGGTCCGAGCCCTGTTGATCGTCTGTGGTCCGAGCCCTGTTGATCGTCTGTGGTCTGAGCCCTGTTGATCATTTGTGGTCTGAGTCTCGTTGATCGTCTGTGGTCTGAGTCCTGTTGATTGTCTGTGGTCCGAGCCCTGTTGTTCGTCTGTGGTTTGAGCCCTGTTGATCATTTGTGGTCCGAGCCCTGTTGATCGTCTGTGGTCTGAGTCCTGTCGATTGCCTTTGGTCTGAGTCCTGTCGATCATCTGTGGTCTGAGTTCTGTTGATTACCTGTGGTCTGAGTCCTGTTCGTGGTCTGTGGTCTGAGTCCTGTCGATCGTCTGTGGTCTGAGCCCTGTTGATCATTTGTGGTCTGAGTCCTGTTGATCGTCTGTGGTCTGAGCCCTGTTGATCATCTATGGTCTGAGTCCTGTCGATTGCCTTTGGTCTGAGTCCTGTTGATCATTTGTGGTCCGAGCCCTGTTGATCGTCTGTGGTCTGAGCCCTGTTGATCGTTTGTGGTCTGAGTCCTGTTGATCATCTGTGGTTTGAGTCCTGTCGATTGCCTGTGGTCTGAGTCCTGTTTGTGGTCTGTGGTCTGAGTCCTGTTTGTGGTCTGTGGTCTTAGTCCTGTCGATTGCCTGTGGTCTGTGTCCTGTTCGTGGTCTGTGGTCTTAGTCCTGTTTGTGGCCTGTGGTCTGAGTCCTGTCGATTGCCTGTGGTCTGAGTCCTGTCAATCATCTGTGGTCTGAGTCCTGGTCTGTGTGTCTATATGTGTCTCAGTGTGTCTCTGTGTGTCTCTGTGTGTCTCGGTGTCTCTGTTTGTCTCTGTGTCTGTTTGTGTTTTTGTCTCAGTGTCTCTGTGCCCCCCTTGTCCTCTCAGGTCCTCCAGGTGTTGTCCTTACCTCTTGATGGCGTCCTCCTGCCGTCTTTTCTTCTGGTGTTTCTCCTGCAGGTATGTCCAGTTAGTCTGGTTTCGGATGCGGTCACTCTCTCTGGCGATGTCAGAGGCATTCTGGATCACCAGGCCATCGTATGTCCTCAGACAGCTGTCCTCCACATACTGAAAGAACCTCCTGAAGGACGACGTGTCCTCCTGAGAGGTCATGATTCTCAGAAGACCTGAGAGGACGATCAGAGAGGACACTAAGTCCAGGGTGTCTTTCACATTAATACAAATTAATTAAGTGTCTTTGTGTCTCTGTCTGTCCCCTCCCCCACTTCTCTGTGTCTCTCTCTCTGTCCCTCTGTCTCCATCAGTCCCCTCTCCCACCTCTCTGTGTCATGACCTGGCTCAAAGCCATGACAAAAACGTGGAGACGTACGGTTTTTAAAGTAAAACGAAATGATTTTATTACAACCAATATAAAATTAGGTAATTGGCAACATAATCAAATACTAACTGAACTAACAAATAAACTAACTAAACAACAACATAATGCGCCGAGGAATCGCGGGCGCAGTGATGCAGCCACGCCAGGTAGGTCACAGAGCAGAGCAGAGAAGAGAAGCCCAAATGTGAGGAGTAGTGCCAGCTCTTATACACCTGTGGACTGGCCAGGTCCACCCAGGTGTGGCAAGCCCCACCTACGACCTGCAGGGGAAGACAAGACAACACCAAAGAGGGAACACAGAACACAACAGCAGGCCCTAGAGGCAGGAGGCCGTCACACTGTCTGTCCCTCTGTGTCTCCATCAGTCCCCTCCCCCACCTCTCTGTGTCTCTGTCTGTCCCTCTGTGTCTCCATCAATCCCCTCCCCCACCTCTCTGTGTCTCTGTCTGTCCCTCTGTGTCTCCATCAGTCCCCTCCCCCACCTCTCTGTCTCTGTCTGTCCCTCTTTGTCTCCATCAGTCCCCTCCCCCACCTATCTGTGTCTCTGTCTGCTCCCTCCCCCACCTCTCTCTGTCTCTGTCTGTCCCTCTGTCTCCATCAGTCCCCTCCCCCACCCCTCTGTCTCTGTCTGTCCCTCTGTGTCTCCATCAGTCCCCTCCCCCACCTCTCTGTCTCTGTCTGTCCCTCTGTGTCTCCATCAGTCCCCTCCCCCACCTCTCTGTCTCTGTCTGTCCCTCTTTGTCTCCATCAGTCCCCTCCCCCACCTCTCTGTCTCTGTCTGTCCCTCTGTGTCTCCATCAGTCCCCTCCCCCACCTCTCTGTCTCTGTCTGTCCCTCTTTGTCTCCATCAGTCCCCCCCCCCACCTCTCTGTGTCTCTGTCTGCTCCCTCCCCCACCTCTCTCTGTCTCTGTCTGTCCCTCTGTCTCCATCAGTCCCCTCCCCCACCTCTCTGTCTCTGTCTGTCCCTCTGTGTCTCCATCAGTCCCCTCCCCCACCTCTCTGTCTCTGTCTGTCCCTCTTTGTCTCCATCAGTCCCCTCCCCCACCTATCTGTGTCTCTGTCTGCTCCCTCCCCCACCTCTCTCTGTCTCTGTCTGTCCCTCTGTCTCCATCAGTCCCCTCCCCCACCTCTCTGTCTCTGTCTGTCCCTCTGTGTCTCCATCAGTCCCCTCCCCCACCTCTCTGTCTTTGTCTGTCCCTCTGTGTCTCCATCAGTCCCCTCCCCCACCTCTCTGTCTCTAAAAATGGAACAGGGAGTCAGCTGGTGGTAACCTAGCAACAGCAGCATCTCTCACAGGAACATGATGTAATGCTTCCTGTCCACGGATGAGGAAGAGGAGAGGAGAGGAGGGGTGAGGTGGAGAGGAGGAGAGGAGGAGAGGCAGAGAGGAGGAGAGGATGAGAGGAGGAAGGGGAGAGGAGGAGAAGAGGAGGAGAGGACGGGAGGAGGAGAGGAGGAGAGGAGGAAGGGGAGGAGGGGAGGAGGTAGGGGAGAGGAGGAGGAGAGGAGTAGGAGAGGAGGGAAGGAGGGGAAGAGGAGGAAGGGGAGAGGAGGAGGAGGAGAGGAGGGAAGGAGGGGAAGAGGAGGAAGGGGAGGGGAGGAGGAGAGGAGGAGGGTGAGAGGAGGTGATGCACAGACTAGACTTTAGGATCCAGTTTTAAAAAAAAGATAGTGGAAGGATTCCAGAAGTCTCCTCCTCCTCCTTTCCTGCTCCCGCTCCCGCTCCTCCTGCTCCTGCTCCTCCTCCTCCTCCTCCTCCTCTCCTCCTCTTCACCAGTTCCCTGTCTATACTGGATCAAATCTCCTCCAAGTTCTTAGTGACCCAGCTGCTGGTTATGACATCACAGCTGTGAGCTCCTCCCCCAATGTGATGGTGACCAATCTGAATCTACTTCCTGTTTCTGACACGTTTACAGAAACAAAAGACGCAAATGTTTTATGAATTCAATGTTTGATTTAAAGAGACTGTTTCCTGTCAGGTGACCTTTCATTTTATCATTGATTATAAATAAATAAATACGTAAATAAAAGAGACAGTTTCCTGAAACTCTGATGATGACCTTTGACCGTGGAACGTAACTCGTTCCTGCGTATCGATCAGTCAGTGTGATGATCAATAACTTCAGATCAATAAGCGACGTCTTGTTTATTTTTTGTTGTGTTTGTCATTTGTTGGTAAAAGTCACTTACTGTCTGAACTTTGACCTTCTGTCCTGGATGGTTATTAAAAACACTTCAGGTGTGTTCTTTCAAAATAAGAGTCTGTAACTTTGTTCTCAGGTCTGATCCAAGATGGCCGCCATGTTTCTGTTTGTGACACACATACAGGGTGTGAAGGAGCCAGATGTGTTTGGACAAACTTTATTGACACTGTCGACGCACAGATGAACATTTCTCACCAGCAGAGACGACAAAGTCTGAACGAGATGACGAATAAAAAAACAGGAGACAAAACACAAAACATGAAACATGACAGACTGAAAGAAGAGAGGACGAGACAGGAGGAGAGAGAGGAGGAGAGGAAAGTATGAGGAGAGGAGAGGAGAGGAGGAAAGTATGAGGAGAGGAAAGTATGAGGAGAGGAGAGGAGAGGAGGAAAGAGGAGGCTTACCACAGGATCAGTGAAGACTCAAACTCCCTGCATCCCTCCTCCAATGTCTCCTCCAATGTCTCCTTCCGTGTCTCCTTATGTCCCTCCGTCAGTGTCTCCTTCCTTCCCTCTGTCAGTGTCTCCTTCCTTCCCTCCTTCAGTGTCTCCTTCACTCCTTCAATGTCTCCTTCCCGTGCAGAAACAAAGATGGAGTGATGAAGCTTCCTCTCTGCAGCTCAGACGAAACGATGACTCGCTGTGATTCTCGTCCGCAGCGACGTTAAGCCTCATCCATCCTTCCACACTTCCTTTTTCTCTTCCTTCACTCCGTCCTCCCGTCATACATCCTCACACACACAAACAAACACACACACACACACACAAACACACTCTCACACACCCTTCAACCGCACACACACACATCCCCGTCGACAGTCGCCACAAGAAACGAGAGGCTGAAACCACGGCAACCTGACAGCATCCTAACCCGGCTGACTCCTCCCCCTCCTCCCCCTGCTGCTGCTGCTGAGAGACAGAGAGGAAGAGGAGGAGGAGGAGGAGGAGGAAGAGAAGGAAGAGGAGGAAAAGAAAGAGGAAGAAAGGGAGGAGGAGGAGGAGGAGGAGGAGAAGGAGAAGGAAGAGGAGGAGGAGGAGGAGAAGGAAGAGGAGAAAGAGAAGGAGGAGAAGGAGGAAGAGGTGGAGGAGGAGAAGGGAGAGGAGGGAGAGAAAGAGGAAGAGAAGTCGTCTCCATCACCTGAAACACCATCAGTCTCCTCCATCACCTGAACCACCATCTGCCTCCTCCATCACCTGAACCACCATCTGCCTCCTCCATCACCTGAACCACCATCAGTCTCCTCCATCACCAGAATCACCATCAGTCTCCTCCATCACCTGAAACACCGTCAGTCTCCTCCATCACCTGAACCACTGTCAGTCTCCTCATCACCAGAACCACCATCAGTCTCCTCCATCACCTGAACCACCATCAGTCTCCTCCATCACCAGAACCACCATCAGTCTCCTCTATCACCAGAACCACCATC